CAAATACTGTAAAAAAAAAAAGTCTTGCTCTGTTAAATATTAAATCAGAAGTAATTGAAAGAGAATTAAAATTTCACAGGAATATTAATTTTAATATTTAGTTTTCAGATTTTTATTAAATCAGAAATATATAAATCATGGTTTCTATAAACTGTAGTATTCTGCTCTATGTATTTCAGGGCCCGTCCGACCATCAAGGACTGCTTTACCAACTCGTGGCTGCAGGACGCATATCTGATGCGCCTGCGAAGACAGACTCTCACATTCACCACCACACGCCTCAAAGAGTTCCTGGAGCAGCAGCAGCACATCAGAGCCCAAGAGGCAACAAAGCACAAAGTCCTCCTGCGTTCCTACCAGAGCAACCCACAAACCCCATCCACCCCTCAGTGAGCTCCAGCACGGCATGAGACATGAGGCCACGGCTCCGGGGTTCTTCAGGACGCGGACAGAGAGAGACACAACCTCAGGACATCCCACTTAATGTGTGTTTACACAGATCAAGCACAGGAGTTTAACCAAGCTGGGGTCAGTTCTGAAACCAGAAACACACACACACACACACACATACATACAAAACATCCAGTGCATTTACCTCCATTAGCTGTGGCCAGCATGCACGGTGTTTATTGTCCCGGATGTTGTTCTTACTTCACGCTCATTTTTAACAAAAGCAGTTTGAATCTCTAGTGAGGGGTCAGATGAACTTTAGACTCATTCTCCTTGAGAGAAGCGACTATTTTGTACACAAAACCGAGAAGACAGCGATCTAGTCCTTCACTTGATGCAAAAAATTTTACGTCGATGTTTTTTTTTTTTTTTTTTTGGGTGTCTTCCAGGGCCTTGAGATTCGTGGACAAAAAAAAATGGTGTACATCTTTTTTGAACTAGTTTTTATGGCATAAGTATTACTTTTATTACTGCTAGTTGTTATACAGTAGTGATTATCAGTACTAAACAAACAAAAAAACAATAAAAACGAGATGCTTTTTTGTCTTTTGCTAAAGTGTTTTGACCTAAACCGAAGTGGATTGACTTTATTGTAATATCAAAAGGCCTCACAGCTTTAGGGAGTGATATTTTTTTGGCAAGAATTCCCTGTACGGTTTGGCTAATCCGCTTTTTTTGATAAGTTGAAGTCTAAGACCAGGAATGTATTATATATTTCAGTGCATACAGTAGCATACAGCATGCATCTGTGAATAGCATATGGACAGAACTCTGTTTTTAGACTCTGAAGCTGTTTCACGTAGAGATCAGATGGGTTAAGATGTGCCTGGAAACTATCTAGAGCTCTTTGGATGTGTCTTAGAAAAGTGACTTTTTTTTTGAAGGGACTAGAATATGTTGTATAACACACGTTAGCTGCTGCAGTGAATGTTTGAGAGTCTTTAGTTTATTATTTTAAGAAGGTTTTTGCTGTAAGATTCATTTATACCCATGAATGAGAGTAACTTTATATTGAAAGCTGTCTAATTTTTGATCTAAATAACACATAAACAATATTAAATACATTACATATATTGATCACAAAAAAATCTGAGATTTTTAATTACTAGAAGAACGTGTATTTTTTTGACTTATGTCCATTTTGACAATTTATGAATCCAAAAATAGGAGTTTTAATCTTGACTTTGTTATATTATAGGCATCATTATGTTACTTTCATAGTTTGTTTTATCTAGATTTATTTTTGAACAGTTTGCATCCTGTTTGGTAAGCATAGATTCCCAGTATTCTGTCAGTATTCTGTTTTTTATTTTATTTCTTTGTATTTGTTTAGTTAATTTATCTAATGAACAAATGACGATTGTGTCATTCACATCCACAAAACTAATAGAAATCATATTCACAAACTAGCTAAAGTTAAAATAAGGTCTCTGTAAAACTAATGGTACAGATATTTTCAAAAAGAAAACAAAAACTAATTTCATTTTCTGCTTCATAAAGATGTTGAGCTGCAAAAGTTTGCATTGAATTTAATGCGTTCAAAAGACGTGTGGTTTAGTTAGGAAAAATCAATGAGTTATAAATAATTTGTATCAATTTTATAATACTCTGGCGAGTACTATAAAATCGAATTCAATCTACTTGTGTTTCAATTTTGAAATCGGATTACATCTAGATTACATCTACTCTGTAATAAATGCTGGGTTCCACAATCAATTTGTGTTGGGACAACATGAAGAAATTACATTAACTTACTAGTTTTTACAAATTTAAGTAGATTGAACATAAAACAATTAAGCTGTCGCAACAAAAACTCAATAATTCTGTTGTTTCAGCTCATTTGAAATAAGTAGTTTGAACAAATATCATATTTTTGAGTGTAGATTACATGTGATAAGTTACTTTCCAACACTTGTGAATATAACTTTTCAACAAATTTTATAGGCTAAAAATGGGTCTATGTGAGTGTAATTATTATTAGATTATTTTTAAAACCGGTAGTGACCTCAAACCGCAGGAAAACACATTATATTTCACAAATATTGGCTTAGATCATTGCTCTCAAACTCGATTCCTGTAGGGCTAAAGCTCTGCACAGCTTTGCTCCAACACCTAATCAAACACAGCTGATGCAAATAATCAAGGTGTTCAAGACTACTAGAGACTATTAAGCAGGCGTGAGTTGGAAGTGTTTGGAACTAAACTATGCAGAGCTGCGGCCCTCCAGGAATTGAGTTTGAGACTATTGGCTTAGATTGAATGACTGTTAGTGTAGTGTTTATTGCCATACTCGCGCACATTTATTTTCATCCACTTTGCATAAATGGCAACATTTTGGGTTTGTTCTTCTATCTAATTTGTTTATTATTTGGTTTTTGGGGTTATTCAAATATGCGCGAGGACTACAACCGAGAAAAAATGGAATCACGATCAAGAGGAACGAATTCTGTTGTTGTGAATAAGATTTGATGTTATTTGAGGTGTGTTGGTTCATTCACTTCTCTTTCAGTCATGCCGAGCAACCCTTTAATGTGAAACTAAACCGAGCTTTTCTGGAATGAATTATGTTGCACTAAAACAGTGACAATGTGGAGATAATATGAATGTTTTACAGTAGAATGAAGTGTGTATATGTTGAAAACGTGACTTTTCATGAATAAAATCTGCTGTCAGCAATACCCAACAGACTCTGCATTCTTTTATTATTATCATCATCCAGTCAATTCAGTGGTTTGAATTGGAGTAAGTGAAAGTGGTTTGAATGTCATCACAGAAAACAACAGTTTCAGATTCTGAAAGCAAAAACTACATTTTCTCTATAGGGAAACTGATTTTTAACAAACAATATTCGGGTAGGGTATGACATTGACACGAATCCTGACCCTACCATCCAAATGTTGCAGCAGAAATCGAGACTCATCAGACCAGGCAATGTTTTCCAATCTTTTATTGACCGATTTTGGTGAGCCTGTGCAAATTGTAGCCTCAGTTTCCTGCTTCACGGTTGGATCCGTTGTGTGTTTACTTGGTTGTAACAAGTGGTTATTTGAGTTGCTGTTGCTTTTCTATCTGCTCGAACCAGTCTGGCCATTCTCCTCCATTCTCATTCTCTCGCTCACAAAACTGCCGCTCAATGGATATTTTCTCATTTTTCTTATCCTTTTCTGTAAACCCTAGGGGATGGTTGTCTGTTAAAATCCCAGTAAATCAGCAGTTTCTAAAATACTCATACCAATCTGTCTTGCACTAACAACCATGCCACGTTCAAATTCACTTAAATCACCTTTTATCCCCATTCTAATGCTCGGTTTGAACTTCAGCAGATCGTCTTGACCATGTCTACATGCGTTGAGTAGCTGCCATTTGATTGGATGATTAGAAATTTGCATTAACGAGCAGTTGTACAGGTGTTCATAATTAGGTGGCCGGTGATTGTATGTTTTTACAGGCTTGTCATTGGTTAGCTCTGGTTCCTGAGCTTTTCTTTCTTTTTTGTTTTAACAGTCACAGTCAGGACCTCAGTTTAACATGTCTTATATGAAAGACTCACTGACAGTATAGTGTCCCCTTCACTATACTGGGGCATCAGGACTCACACAGACCGCAGGTTGAATGCCCCCTGCTGGCCTCACTAACACCACTTCCAACAGCTACCTAGTTTTCCCATGTGGTCTTCCATCCAGCTACTGACCAGGCTCAGCCCTGCTTAACCGGTCTTGAGCTGCAGGGTGATATGGCTGTAGCTATTTTTCAGAGCTAAAAATGTCAAGGTGCAAACATTTAGACTTTAAAACAACACGAATGACTGAACACCTCAGTGGTATTCTATTTCTTAATGACTGTTGTCATTTTCTTTTCTTGTCTTCCAACTTAAGTGCTCATTTTCAGCTCTATGTACACCTAACAGCTCCTACTGGAGAGCTGGGGATGAAGATCGTACACTGTAAAAAATGCTGGATTCCACACAATCGATTTGTGTTGAGACAACATGAAGAAATTAAGTTAACTTTACAAATTTAAGTGGATTGAACATAAAACAATTCAGTTGTCCCAAAATATCTTTAAGAACCAAGTTGCTTCAACTCATTTTAAATAAGTAGTTACATCAAACCTAATTTTTTTTATTCCAACAGTACTATCTGATTGGTCAGATTTAGTTAACAACTCAGCGATATGGATATTGCATATATACTGTCATAACAATTCATTCCTAATAAACAGTATAACACACGTTACTATATTATGGCTCGATAGTGTTTACTATAATATTTTTTCGTGTGGGTAACCAGATTGCAACTGGACTCTATAAATGGCTCATTAGCTTACACTACATTCACGTGTGGTAATGAGGCCAGTCTGAATGTTTCCACCTGTGCACTCTTTCATTTGGGATCATTTCTCTTTCACAGCCCTGCCTGAGAATCTGACAGCATCTCTGAACACTATCACAGCTATCCACGGTCTCTAGGGGTCTTTTCATTACGTCTTCACTATTTTCAGCGCAACTGCTCACTTGTTGATCTTTTATCAACCTCGGTTTGTCATCTCGAAGATAAAGTTCCACCGAGGGTTAAATGTTTTGGTATTTTAATAGTGTCAATCTCAAAGCAGAGAACTCTCGGTGGAGATGTATTTATAAATCTCAAACCCAACATGAGGACAACTGGCGTTTGGTGGATCCTGAGGAGTAAAAGTTGAGGAGCTTCATCAGGTTGGGTGATGCTTGATTTTTGTTTGAGAATCTGTTTAGGAGTTAATTTGAATTTTTAATTTGAATTTATTTTATTTAACAGGGACAATGCTCATTAATCAACAGTAAAACTGTAAATAAGGCAGAGTTAGCCGCAAGGGCTAATTTTCATCTGTTGCCCCCTGCCAGCATTTAAAAGGCAACCTAAAATAAAAAAACACATCATCACACATACAAAAACAGTAGTTACACATGACAAAAAGAGATAAAAACATGTAAAAATAATTTCTTAAAATGTTAGACAAAAGAATTACACATGATTACAAACTTGATTTGCTTTTAGCCATTTCTTTAACTTTAAAAGTACTTTAACTATTTAAAAGTAGAATAATTTTAACACCCCTTAAGTCAATCGGAAGTGTGTTCCAGTAATGACTGGCTCTAACTGAGAAGACTGATCGTGCAAAAGTTAAAACTAAACTGCATAGCACAGTCTCCCCTGGTAACAGATTGTGTTGCTTGACCGTTATTGTTCTTGTGCGTCACAAACTCACATAATGGCATAAAGGGTCAGTTCACCCAAAAATGAAAATTCTTTTATTAAATGCTCACCCTCATTTCTTTTTAATTAAACCCTTGATATCTTGGTCCATCTTCTGAACATAAATTGAGCTATTTTAGATAAAATCTGAGAGCTCCCTCTTCAGAAGTCCAGAAACGGAACAAAAAACTTTGCCGAAACCACACTGTAATTGTTTGCAAGATGTTTTGTGCTGCAAACAAATAAATAATTTGTAAATATGACTTTATTTATGGTCATATCAAGTTAATTTTATTTTATTTTTTCCACAATGAAGGGGCATCTACATTCCTCAAGGATGTAAATGTTCCCAAATTAACCCAAAGACTATAGATTTCATAGGTTGTACCTTTCATAGGTTGTAACTTTGTCAGATGTAATATCCATTTGTTTGGCTTGGTCACTTTTAGTCGCTATTTATCAGTGGTCCCCACAGTGGATTGAACTGCCAACTATTCCAGCGTATGTTTTATGCAGCAGATGCCCCTTCCAACTGCAACACAGCACTGGGAAACTTATTCACGCACATACACTACAACCAATTTTGCTTAACCAATTCACCTATAGCGCATGTCTTTGGGATGTGGGGGAAACCTGAGTACCCTGAGGAAAGTAAACCCATGCGAACACAGGGAGAACATGCAAACTCAACACAGAAATGCTAGTTGGCCCAGCTAGGACTCAAACCAGCGACCTTCTTGATGGGATTTGTTTTCCCTATTTAATAACAGTTTCAGGAAAATACTTTGTGTTTATAGTAAACATTTTGTAACCTGCAAATTATTTGCTCAAATTATTTAAATATTCTATAAAATAAATATATGAAACTGTTATGATAGCATCACATAAAGCACAAGTGTCAAACTCAGTTCCAAAAGGGCCGCAGCTCTGCACAGTTTAGTTCCAACCCTAATTAAACACACCTGATCAAACTAGCCTAATTGAGTCCTTCGGGCTTGTTTGAAACCTACAGGTAAGTGTGTTGGAGCAGGGTTGGAACTAAACTGTGCAGGGTATCGGCCCTCCAGGAATTGAGTTTGACACCCCTGACATAAAGCATTTTAGATATCCCAACCCTAACTATTAAAACAAATAAAAATTGATACATTTCCCGGTGATGGGTTGCAGCTGAAAGGACATCTGCTGAGTAAAACATATGCTGGAATTGTTGACGATTCATTCTGCTGTGGCGACCCCTAAAACAGAGACTAAGCCAAAGGAAAATCTATTAATGAATATTAGTACATACACAATAGTAAGTGTTCAAAAGACTAAGATTTTCTAACATTTTTCTTGTGCTCACCAAGAGTTTTCAAGAGTTCACACTTCTGATGATTGATCAATAAGTGTTTGGCATGCTGTCCTGGGAGAGAGCCCTGAGCTCATGAGATCCTCGAGCCCAGAGCTCCCTCCTGTTGCAGGGTGAGAGGGGAGTTTGAGCTTAGGTAGACTTCAAAACTCCCCTGATAATGAACAGATAGTGATTGCTCTTAAGAGATAACTACTTACTAGGAGCATGTCAATGGTGCTGATTCAGATTAGTCAGTTAACTTAAGTTCCATGTTTTGGATGGTGGGAGGGAATCGGGGGACCTGGGGGGAACCCACATGAGCAAGGGGAGAACTCTGCACAGAAACATCAGCTGGCTTGGTAAGGACTAGAACCAGTGACGTTCTTGCTATGGGGCAACCGTGCTAACCACTGGGCCATCGTGCCACCCATTTAGGAAAGTAAGAGGAGTAGGGACGGAAATGGGGATTCTTCAAAAGAAGATGGCTGTGGTATGGAACTTAAGCTATTTATGGTGACTTAGGAATCGTCTGATTGGTAAATCAGGAATTGGATAATGCAGGACCAGCTGTGTTCAATCACAAGTGATCATATGTGATCCTCTCGAAATGACTTTATAAATGAACTTCACTTATTTGATTTAAAATGTAATAAAAACATACAATTTTGAATTATTGTTAGAATTTGAAAATACTGTTTTAAAAGTGACGTGGAAAATATCTGAATTTACTCTCATATTTTACCTATTTAATGCTGAATGTTACAGAACGTTTCTTGCAAAACTAATTAAAGATTAAATCATTTCTGATCCCAAACTCTTCTCAATCAAAAATTCCAAAAATATATCAAATATAAAAATATATCAAAAAGATTGATTGATTGATTGATTGATTGATTGATTGACTGTAATCAATTAATAGCTAACATCATAATCTAGCATACATAGAAAATTCAGATTTACAACTCTCTCTCTCTCTCTCTCTCAGATGAAAAATGCAAAGTTTTGCCGCAATTTTGCTTTTCAAGTAAAACTCCATCTTGATTTCAAAACGTCTAGACCAGGGGTGTCCAAACTTGGTCCTGCAGGGCTCGTGTCCTGCTGAGTTTAGTTCCAACTTGCTTCAACACACCTGCCAGGAAGTTTTGCATATATTTAGAAAGAGCTTGATTAGCTGGTTCAGGTGTGTTTGATTAGGGTTGGAGCTAAACTCTCCAGGACACCGGCCCTCCAGGACCGAGTTTGGACACCCCTGGTCTAGACTATACCCAAAGTCGGTCCTGGAGGGCCGGCGTCCTGCACTTTCAAGCCCCTACCCCAACCAAACACCCCTGAACTGGCTAATGAAGTTCTTCCTAGCTATTCTAGAATCCAGGCAGGTGTACTGAAGGAAGTAGGGGCCAAACCGTGCAACAAACCTTGCCCGGGCACTCCAGGTCCAGACAACATGTATTAGGAATATACACAAGCATATTTTAAGAAGCATCATCTTCGGGAGGTCTTTGAACATGAACGACCCTCAGGTTCAAAATTCAGCCATCCATGTCAATCCTGATTCAAAGCACTCATTGGTGATTCCAATAGGTGGTGCTCTATTTAATACTGTGTGCCTCGGCTGAATGTCACTGCTGACCTTTAATTTGTCATCTGTATGAATGTCCACCATTGTATGTTTAAACTGAGGAAAAGAGCCATAACATCAAGAGCCTATACAATGAGTCTGCAGGAACTGAAAGCTGTGCTTCTGCTGGACACCAGTGCCGGAAGTACCAACATGTTTAAGGATCCTTATACTGAAGCCCTGGTTGTGTGTGAAGCTGTCATGGATGGCCTGGGCACATATGCACTTACTCTGAAATTAGCTTAAGGTACAAGCGACTCATTAGGGAAAGTAGCTAAGCTGTCACACTACTGTACATGCTACACTACAAGTTACTTCTTAAAAGTAACTAGTTACCTTGGAGTTAAAAACATGAATTTATGTTTAAATTAAGTAGTGGCAGAGTAGTTAGCACTGTCGTCTCACAACAAGAAGGTCGCTGGTTCCAGTCTGGCTGGACCAGATGCATTTGTGTGAAGTTTGCAGGTTGTCCGCATGTTCGTGTGGGTATCTTCTGGGTGCTCTGGTTTCCCTCAAAGACATACGCTATTGGTGAATTGAAGAAACTAAAATGAACCAGTGTGTGTGTGTGTGTGTGTGTGTGTGTGTGTGTGTGTGTGTGTGTGTGTGTGTGTGTGTGTGTGTGTGTGTGTGTGTGTGTGTGTGTGTGTGTGTGTGAATGAAGGAGTGTAGGAGTGTATGGGGTTTTCTAGTGTTGGGTTGTGGCTGTAAGAGCATCCGTCGCATAAAACATTGTTTTATTTAGTGGAGTGGTGGTTTATTCCGCTGTGGCGAACTTTAATAAATCAAAGATCAAACTGAAGGATAGTGAGTGAGTTTAATTAAATATAATACACATTGGATGTAAGTAGTTTGCTATAGACCGTTTCACTGTGGTCATGAACATTTCCTGCTTGTTATCAAACTATTTCATAACTTTAACAAGAGGCAATTCAACCATAACTCAATGTTAAAACAGCTATTATAACACTATTTATCAATTTGGGGCTATTTTTGGATTCTCAGAAGCTATAGAAGTTAAAAATGTAAAACAGGAAGTACAGTGGGACCATCGAGTTTGTTTACATCCCTCAAAATGGTCTATACTGCCATAAAGATTTGCATTTGCATCTAAAATCATGTTTTTGTCTCTTAAGCAGGGACTAGGCTGAAGACAAATTAATGAATGAATATTATATGAACCTTAAAAACTTGATTTATTATTTTTGATATTTGAATAGAATATTTTTTATTACAGTTTTAATAAACTATTCAGCATAAATTTATATTAGTGTTTGTTGTTGTTTTTTTATTTAACGATTCTTGTTTTTAAATGTGCTATATAAATAAAACTGAAAATTGAAATTATTTCAAATTTACATTTAAAAGCTGCTGTTTTAAAGGTAGTCAAAGAATCTAAAATATGATGCCGTCGATTATTAATCAACTCAAACTTTTTCATGCAGTGCTAAAATTG